GGAGAATACATTCGAACTCAATATCAGTAAAGAGCCATTTTCTTATAAAAAGTGGACATCATTAAAAAGTTTATGATATTTGCTGTCCAAAGTATCACTATCTCTGAATCTATTATGATATCAAATATACATTTTAATCGTAAATAATTAAACAAGGCTTACAATAATGATTTGTATCAGTCTCCTTAGTCTTTGAGAACTATGGTGAGTCTTAAAAATGGTGCACAGAATTTAACTACACAGGTGTAAGAAATTAAGAGAATTTGCAATACTTAGTTGATTATCTCTAGAACTACTGGACCGATTGTAATTGAATTTGATACGATTGATACAATACAAAACAAATAACTATTCAACAATTATAATACACACGCATGATCGTGCGTAACACTCGTTGGAGTCGGTAAGTATGAAATTGCCACTGGACAATTCAGGCCAATCGCCACAGGAAATGATAAACTGCCTTTTTTCAAGTGTGAAATCACGCTGCAAGGCCTGTATATCTGTAAACCCCCTATTAACCCTTTTTTTTTTGTTTACTCTGCAACCGCTGTTTCATACCTTCCGACTCCAACGAGTGTTACGCACGATCATGCGCGTGTATTACAATTGTTGAATAGTTATTTGTTTTGTATCGTTTAAATGTATGTGCAGTCCACGAAAAAAAAAAAAAAAAGATATCACCCTGAATAACTTTCGTTCTAATGGTCGGAACTAAGTGTCAATCTTATTGGTTTCTGGGGGAGACCTCAAATAGACTTGATTAAACATTTTATTAAATAAAAACATTTTATTAATGAATGTTGAGTTTTATAACAGCATGTTTCTGATAGAATGTAATATATTATTTTTATATTTTAATTGCTAGTTTGATCTTTTAATAATTGATACAATTTCAATAATTGATACAATTTCAATAATTGATACAATTTCAATAATAGACCAACGTATGCATAGATTTGCAATAATATGCGTATCAATTTTTTCAATATATATTTAATAATTATTAATGCGAATGCGTAGTAAACATTTTTAAGCTTCTTAAAACTTCCCTACATCTTATATATCGCCTTATCCTAAAATAAATTTGTAAATTACCTGTCTGCGCGTGTTTCTCAGAATTATTTTTCTAACTTTTTAATTAAATGTTAATGTTTCTCAAAATCTTATTCTTTATGCTACCATATATATTATTTTCCCATTAATATAACTAATCAATTGTTTTAGTACCTTTATTTATGTTTTCCTTTAAAATAAAATTACTTTTTAAATCATTGTTAAGTGTTTATTGAAAGAAAACCTGCCAGCTATCTGAGAATTAAATCTTGTTAAGAAATTAAATATATTCTACTGATCAATATCATTCGATGCAGAACAGCTAGCTGACTATTTACTAAGCATACTATTGTTTTTGAAAAATGAAGATAAATTATAAATTTTCTATTTTTTATTGTTTCTTATTTATTTGAGTAATAAAAAGTAAAAGTGTGCACAGCAAAAAAAAAAAAAAAAAAAATACGGGTTGTTTTGTTTTTTAAATGAACAAAAAACTATGGACATATAATTTTATTTTGACGTTCAAAGTTATTCTTGCCCGCTAACTTAAAGAAAGTTACCCTTTTCTCTTAAAAAGTTGAAAATATCTGCTTAAAAAGTTTTTTATATTATTTCTCAACTTTTGCGCAGTTCCAAAAAATATTGCTATACCAGGAAAATTTTCGATATGCCTTGTTTTGTTAAACAACTACTAAAATAAAAATTGTAAAAAGATTCTAGAACCGTGCCATTTTTAGAATCCTCATCTCAAAAATTGTTCTTTTTCAAAGATTAGGAGTTTTTCTACTTAAATGACCTATAATAATAGTTTTAATACACGTTTTGAAGAAATAATGAATACAAATTAGGATTGTGCGTTTGATTTGTTAGTTACCAAGGATGGGCCCGAAAATGGATGTGCGGAAGGTAATATTATGCTGGATAATTTAAACAAATTGACAATAAGTAATTTTTAAAAAAAAAATTTTTTTAAGAAAAAAAATATTTATTCAAGTAAAAAAATATAAAATAGAAAAGAGAAACAAACACGAATTGCCTGTTTTGCACATGATTTTAGCCACGGATTTGCCCGAAATGGATTTGCGCATGCAGAAATTATATAAAATAACAAAGAAATATTTTTAGTAAGTAATTTTAGCCACGGATTTGGCCGAAATGGATTTACACATGGAAAAATTGAATGAATTAGCAAAGAAATTTATTAGTAAATAATTTTAATCACGGATTTGCCCGAAATGGATTTGCACATGGAAATTGATAATTTACTAAAAATATTTCTTTGTTAATTTATATAAAGAAATTTTTTAGTAAGTAATTTTAACCGCGGATTTGCCCGAAATGGAATTGCACAAGGAAAAATTATACAAATAAACAAAGAAATTTTTCTTTAGTAAATAATTTTGGCTACGGATTTGCACATGGGAAAATTATATAAATTAACAAAGAAAATTTTGAGTAAATATATCTACAATATTAGAATTTTATTACTTTAGTTGGGTATCCATTGTTTTTTTATCAAATTTTGAAAGAGTTTATCTATTTGTTTTTTGGATAAATAAATATTACTACATATTCTTTTAATTCTATTCATTTCATTTAATATAGTATTTAAATAAACGCTCCTAGAAACATTAGAATTAATAATTTTTCCATGTGCAAATCCATTTCGGGTAAATCCGAGGTTAAAATTATTTACTAAGAAATTCCTGTGTTAATTAATGTAATTTTTCCATGTGCAAATCCGTCGCTAAAATTATTTACTAAAAAATTTCTTTGATAATTTATTAAAAGTATTTCTTTGCTAATTTATATAATTTTCCATGTGCAAATCCATTTCGGGCAAATCCGTGGCTAAAATTATTTACTAATAAATTTCTTTGTTAATTTATACAATTTTTCCATGTGCAAATCCATTTTGGGCTAATCCATGGCTAAAATTATTTACTAAAAACATTTCTTTGTTAATTTATAAAATTTTTCCATGTGCAAATCCATTTCGGGCAAATACGTGGCTAAAATTATGTGCAATTCGTGTTTCGTGTTCTAAAATTATTTATAGTAAATTTCTTTTAATTATTCAGTATAATATTACCTTGCGCACATCCATTTTCGGGCCCATCTTCATTAAACGCACTTCAGTAATGCAGTAAGAACGCACTTTAATACAAAACTCCTCTAGTTACGCTTTTAGCTCAATTTACGCTTTTGTCTTCATTTTTTGCGATCTGGCAATCTTGTTACGAAAATATTTTAAGTCATTCTTGAAAAATTTCCCGCTCATGTAAGTTCATTTGAATTCGCTACTCGCTTCATAGATTATGTTTTATGTTTTATTCTGCTTTTTCTTTATATTTTATTTTCTGTTTTTACGTGTTATTTTTAGTTATTCGTCAACCAACTCGTGGATCTTGTCTGACTCCGTCAGACAGAGAGGATAAGCAACAACAACAACAACACTTATTGTGTTCTATTTAATTTGTTGCAATTTTTTTGTAAAATTTTTTGAGTGCTCTTCACACTATTGTATTGATATATTTAATTTTGCTTTGGCTATATTGATACAATATAAGAAAGCACTCTTTCTTGCGGACATAATCGTGTGAGCTGATGCACAGATTATATCTTTTATTTTCCGGATTTTTTTAAAAAAAATTTGTCCTTTTTCTCGGATTTTTTTCCCTTCCAGTTTTTTCTCATTTTTATTTTTTATATATTATTTATTATTTATTTATTTTATTATTCTTATTTTATATATATATATATATATATATATATATATATATATATATATATATATATATATATATATATATCGAAAAAAAATACTGTGAATTTTATAGATCCTTCTGATTGCGCATCAGAATTGCTATTTTTTATCTGGCGCCCAAATTTTTTGCAGGATCTTTTTTTTCTTTCCCCTACCTGAAAGACTTGAACTGAGGTGTAAAAGCAATTAGCCCTACAACTCTTTTTAAATTTATAATAACTAATGTAAATTTGATTTTAACACAACAGTTTTATGCAAATAACATCTTTAAAAAAATAAAAAAATGTCAGATAATAAGTTCAACGCTCAGATTTTGAAATATTGGAAAATCAAAAATAATTTCATTTTTATCTCTTAATTTTAAATTCAAATTTTATTTTCAAAGTAATAAAAAGAAAACTATTTTCTTTGTCCATAAAGCAGATCCAAAAATTCTCTTCTTGGTTGCCTATAGCAATACACGATGTTATAACGTCTTGTCATTCATTCAGTTTCTTTATGGTTGTTTTAAATTGTCTCACTTTCTATGGCGAGGTAATTTGGCATTTTTTCAAACTTTTGCCATATTTATAAATCTTTATTGCGATCCAATTTTTTCGAAATTTAGTGTACCCCCCTATTTTATGGGTCAGAATTCCAAATATGTGAGAAAAAAAAATTTATTCTGAGAAAGTACGTTTTTGTGTCTGATTTCGTAACTTAATTAATAGTTAGCACTAATTAATTAGCATATTTGAGGTCACTCCCAGGAACCATTAAGATTGACACTTAGTTCGTAAAAATCCGACTATTAGAACGAGACTATTAGAACGGAGACTATTAGATTATTCAGGGTGATATCTTCTTTTTTTGCGGACTGTACATATCAAATTTCATTAAAATCGGTCTTGTAGCTCTAGAGATAATCGACCAAGTCTGCAATTCTCCTAATTTCTTGTACTAGTGTATTTAAAATAAAATTAAGAAAAAATGCGAATCATAAAACGTTTTTTAGATGGCTACGTATAAGTTAGGTAGCAATTTTTTTTCTATCTTAAATAACGTTTTTTCAGAAAAAAAAATGCTTTGTCCTTCCAGTGTCGTTTTAAAAAATAAACCCTTCAGTAAAGGATCACAAAGTTATTCTCATAATCATACACTCAAGTACAAAAATGAATAAATAATTAAAATAACATACCCAAATTAAAGCTGAAAAAGAAACAAATAATTACACTAAATTCAAATAATAAGAAATAGTTTTAATAATAATGAGCACGAATACATGACATTTTCACAATTTTATTGTAAATAAATAGTTTCAAAATTGCTGTATAATATACTATGTGTGTTTAATAATTGTTATATTAATTTATAGCAATTTTTATAGTAATTTCTAAACTGCTGTTTGTAGAAAATGCAACACCATGAAGGAATCATCAGAATCAAATGAAATTCGCAGCAAATGTCAATTATAGGATATTATGCAAATTATAAAAGTTTCAGAGCCATCGCGCGTGCGTGGCGCGCGCAGCGCCCTCTGAATTGATGCTGAAAGCGTATAAATAAAGTGCTGTAGCGGGACGTTGAAAATAGTCTATGATTATTTGTTAGTGGCAAACGTTTAGTGAGACCAGAGTATGCCTCCACGACGGAAGAATAAGAAATTCAAGCAACTTACGGAGTTTGAACGAGGGAGGATAATCGNGCTGAAAAAGAAACAAATAATTACACTAAATTCAAATAATAAGAAATAGTTTTAATAATAATGAGCACGAATACATGACATTTTCACAATTTTATTGTAAATAAATAGTTTCAAAATTGCTGTATAATATACTACGTGTGTTTAATAATTGTTATATTAATTTATAGCAATTTTTATAGTAATGTCTAGATAATATAGTTCACTAATAGTAATTCAGGGTTCCTACTTTTTTAACAAAGCAAAAATTAAGGATTTTCTTTGAAAAAAATTAAGGATTTTTTTTTGAAAAAAATAGTATAATAGTTCTCAAATCTACACCCAGAGACAGTACCAATTATTTACCCTTTAAAAAAAACAGATTCATTATAATGCTGATACAATTGTATTTATTACCAGGCTTTGCCAAAGTGGACCCTCTTAAAGAAACGCTTTATAAGGTGGGTTTTTTCAAAATTTATTGAATGAGATCATAAGGCTTAAAAAGAAAAATAATTGTCCTTTCAAACAATTAAAGGAACTTCATACATTAGTTGATATTTATTCAACTTATTTTAAGAGCATACTAATGTGCCGTTAATTATAATGGAAAAGTGAAGTAACTGTTTTATGGAACGATGGGAATGCTTTAAATGCTTTATATAATATTATAATTATTGTTATTATAAAAAAAGATAACTTTTAGCATGAAATTAATATTGCATTTCTTTTTTAAATAGGCTGTTTTCTAGGCGATAAAAGAACGACTTTTTGTTTTTAATATTTTTGAAACACTGCAAAATTGTTTCCGTCAATTATACTGAAAATTAAGGACTTTTTAAAACCTTGTAACAAAATTAAGTACTTTTAAGGGCCCTTATTTCTCAAAGTAAAAATTAAGTAGTTTTTAAGGATCCTGGGAATCTTATTTCCTCTTTCGAATTTCGCAAATCATTACACAAATTAAAATTCGCAAATGAAAACGATAATAAATTAAAATTAAAAATCGCAAAATCCGTGGTGCATTAACTTCCAAACTATAGATCACGCGAATAGCACTCTTTTAAAAAGAGATACTCAAATAAATGTACAGAACATTTTTCAATAATTGTAAAAAAAATAATATGATAATGTAAAATAATAAAAAAAAAAATTTTATGTTTATTAAACGCTTAAGTCGGCGAAAAAAAAAGAAAGAAATCAATTTTGTCTCTCCTAAAACAAAAAACGTTACACGCATCACTTTCTGAAGACGGAGGAGAAATCCTCCCTCCACAAAGAGATGCTTTCGTTTTAGGTGTGACAAAAATAATTTTTTTCTTTTTAGTCTACCTAGAATACGTAGTTCTTAAAATTTTTACTTTATCTGAATTTTTTTTCTAGTTTTGGACCCGTTTTGAAAAGGTCAACATTTCACGATTATCAATAACTTTCACTTAGATTAGAAATTCTATTTATCGAAAAATTTCCTTAGTGATAAAATGACTTTCAATGGTAGGGAAACAATCGCAGCTTGTCAATAGAATAATAACTAAATTTGAACACTTCGGCTACTTAGAAAATGATCAAAATATCTATTAGTGATGTTTTGAAAAGGTCGAAATTTCACGATTATCAATAACTTTTACTTAAATTCGAAATTCTATTTATCGAAAAATTTCTTTAGTGATAAAATGACTTTCAATGGTAGGAAAACAATCGCAACTTGTCAATAAAATAATGACTAAAGTTGGAGAACTTCGGCTACTTGATATCTATTAGTGATGTGTCATTTTTGCCCATAAAATGGTAATAAATTCGTTTTTGGTCTGGAAACGACTTGTATTGTCAATAGGCACTTCAGTAGATATTTGAGTGCTCTAGTTAGTCGAAAAGTAGTAAAAATTTCGATTGCAAGTTGCCATCATTACAACCACGTTGTTCAAAAAATTAAGTGACTGTTAAATGCTGCTATGATAAGTTTTATAAAATCACGAAGAATTTCCCAACATTCTTAGAGACAAAAAGAAAAGTTTGTTATTTTATTAATTCCGTTTTTATACTATATTGAGCTTTTATATGTTTTTTGCATTCTCTATAAAAATTCTTTAAAATTCTATAATTTTGTTTTACGTGAATATTAATTTGAGACCTATGACCCAACATTAATTAATAATATGAGACTAATATTAATAAAACTTTGTGACTCAACAGATTTAACGTGCATCAGTTACCATTTACTACACTGGGAGTCTTCAGCCGGCGGGGGTTGAACATGTCATATTTTATAGAAATAAAGTGAACAAAAAGTAACTTAAGAGGTTATGAAAAGTTTTTTAAAAAAACACCAAAATTGTCAAAATCAGTTTAGATCGGCTCTAAGATTATAAAATATGCATTGAAAACTCAAGTGTTGTTGATTCCCAATATAGATCCTATGTAAAAAGTGTTTAAGTTTTGCTGTTTAAAAACTTATTTTTGTAAACTTACTTAAATTTTTTTAAAGAAAAAATTATTTTTTTTATTTCTTTTAATATTCTCAATTACATTTAAGGAACATCAAAATCTTTTCAGTGCTTAGGGCCTCAAAGGTTCTTAATCAGGCTCTGGTTTAATGATCCGAAGATAATATTTAATAAATATTTATTATTTTATTAAGTTATGGTCGAAAAATTTTATTTATGAGGCATAAAACATTCTTACATTATTTTCAAGTATCCAATTTTAAATGACAAAATACAAATTCGAATGTAATCGGCTGAATAGTTCTCGTTAACTGAATATACTATGTTTATTAGTAAGATAAAGAGATTTTTAAGAGTATGTCTGTGCCTTAATATTAGGGTTACTAATATCAATGCTTGATGATGCGTTTCCTAAACTTCAAAAGAAAATAATAATAATAATAATAAAAATAATATTTTTGTATTAATAGAACGAATATAACTTCTTCTGAGCACTATCACAGGGGTGCGTAGCCAGATTTTTCAGCAAAAATAAGCAACTTTGCGTACATTTTAAGTACTTAAAAAATATTTTTAATCACTTTCCAAAACAAAAATTATAATTAGGATCTGTGCAGCAATAAAAATTATTTTTTTCTACTGTTTCTTAATTTTTAAATATAAAATCAATAAACTTCAAAAACATTTTCACAAACTTCTCATAATCGATAAACTAACTAGTTTCTGATAAATAATGCAGATAAAATAATGCAGATAAAATCAAGCATTTTTTGTAATTTAGTACGACAATAGACACGACAAAGGAAAAATCTGTTTTCAAAATATAATAAATTAAGGACTTTTTACAAAGGCCGAATAAAAAAAGCACCTTCAAGAGTTTTTAAAACATGTAAATCAAAAATAAGCACCTTTAAGTACTTTTTAAAAACGCTACGCACCCTGTATTAATAGGATCAATGTCATGTAATAAACACTGCACGACTCTTTTCTGAAGAAAATTCACTACTTTGATCGAAACATTTGAAATTTTAACATTAGTTATTGTTTTCATTCCGCATTTAATTTCAATAACAATACAGTGAAGTTGTCAGAATTCTGATTACACGCAATATTCATATTATCTATCTATCTATCTATCTATCTATCTATCTATCTCTCTATCTATCTNATATATATATATATATATATATATATAACATAATAAAAAAAAAAACACGAAGAAAATTAAGAAAAACAATAAGTTTCTTTTATTGCGCATAAGCTGCAAGTAAATAGAATTCATAAAATAAGTTCAAAATGAGGATGAAACAAAGGAAAATTACAGACATATGAAAAAAGGGGGTGAAAATAAAAATAATAATAAAAATAACAAACAACAGGGAAAAAAAAATCCGGACAAAAATGTTTTGTTCGGATTTTTTAGAAAAATTTATCCTTTTTTTTCCGGATTTTTTTCCCCAGTTGTCTGTTATTTTCCTTTGTTTTACCTTCACTTTTAGCTATATATCCTGTCATCCTTCTGAGAGAACAAAAACGAATCACAAAAGAAAACGGTCTTACAATATTTATCAATGCCCAAATTTAAATATTATTTGTCATAAGATAATTGCTAGATGAGATTTTAATGATTGAAATCGGAACATGTAATCAATGATACCCGCAGAGATTTTTTCAGGGAACGATTGCAGATGAAAAAAAAATTTCGAATACAATATCAATAATTTGTCTAATACTACTAAAAAATGTTTTTAGCATGATCAGTTTTTTGATATTATTTCAAATTAATGGTAAAAAAATAAATAAATAAATAAATAAAAAGTATAATACTTTAAACTGCAGAAAAAGAGAAAACAGTGTTCTTTTGCGAAACGTAAGACGTTTATAGTATCGTTTTTTTTATGTCATGAAATAGGTATTAAAAATCATTTACCGAAAAAAAATATTAAAAAAAAATAACATTTAAAAATTACAAAATATAATTTAGAATTTATTAGGTTTTATGGGAGCAGGGATGCTTCCTTTTGAACCCTCCATGGGTGCCTTACTATGCTTAGTAGTAATATACAGTTGATCCCCGATTTAAC